TTCTAGTTAATATTACATTACTTTTTGAGTGACTTTCTAATTTTCTTCAATTACATGAGAGTGTATTAATGATACTCTTTTTTTGAGATTCATATCTATGATAATTTCATAATTAATCTCAACTGCTCAAAATTTCTTAGAATAGAAAGCTACTAGGTAAAGTTTGTCATTTGTTCCCATTTGTGACAATAAAGTACCTATAGCAAAGTTTGACGCTTCTATTTCCATAAAAAAAAACCTTGAAGAAGTCGATACAATACAAGATTGGTGCAAAAATAAACTCCTTCTTTAAAGCATCAAATGATGCTTCCACTTCTTTATACCAGTCAAGTTTTTTTTTATAAGTCAAATGTATAAGTAGAGTTACAACTTGAGAAAAGTTCTTCATGAAGATGTAGTAGTAATTAGCAAAGTCCAAAAAGTATTGCATATCTCATACTATCTTTGAAATCTTCCAATCTATGATAGTTTGAACCTTCTTGGGATCCATCATAAGGCCTTTGTTGGAAATGATGTATCTTAAAACTTAACTTAAGTAGTGTGGAATACACACTTTTCTAACTTGGTACATAATCCTACATCTCTAAGTTTTTGTAATACATGACAAATATGAAGTTTATGTTCTTTTATCTTCTTAGAGTAGATTAGAATATCGTCTAAATAATAAATGATAAAATCATCAAGAAACTCACAAAAAATATCATTCATAAGATGTTAGAAAGCGGCCGGTGCATTCAAGAGTCCAAAAAGTATGATATTATATTCAAAATGTCTATATCTAATTTGAAAAGTAATCTTTCATTCATCTCTTTTTTTGATATAATCTAAGTTTTATGCTCCTTATAGATCTATTTTGATATAGATCTTTGCTTGATTGATTTGATCAAGAAGTTCTAAAATAAATGGCAAAAGATACCTATTCTTGATGGTGATCTTATTAAGTCCTCAATAATCTACACACATCCACAAAGATCCATCTTTCTTATTCACAAATAAGATAGAAGCCCTAATTAGAGATTTAGAATAGCATATGAAGTTCTTTGCTAAATTTTTATCAATTTATTCGTTTAATGCAGCCAATTCATTTTGTAATAAGTTATAGATTAGTCTAAATGGTGGTTGAGTTCTTTCTTATAGATCAATTGAACAATCATAAGGTCAATGATCTAAAAGAATATCTATATTTTTCTTTTCAAAAATATCTTAGAATTCTTGATATTGGCTAAGAATACCACTTGATATTTTTCTACCATTAGAAATGGGCGTAGCATATATAGCAAAAGATGATCTTTTTTTTGCAACATGTATAAAAGTTCATGCTCTTGCTAGTAAAGATTTGGATGTGCTAGACTTATGTGCTTCAACTTCACTAACACAAATTTGGATTATACTAGTAGAAAAGTTAAGGTTACAAGAAATCCAATCTATTTAGAGGTTATACTTTTTTAGCCACAATAATCCTAAAATAACTAGATTGGAGGGAGATCTTATTACATTAAATACTACTACTCTGTTATGATCTTTAATTGCTACATCTTAAGGAACAGTCTCATGGATAATATTTTCAAAGGATAACAAACGACCGTCTTTGACTTCTATATATATGGGTTTAGTTTTCTTGACTAAAAGTATTTTTTGATTTTTGACAAAATATTTGTCTATAAAATATGCTGAGGCTTCTGAATTTGATAAGACAAAAATTTTGTGATTTTTAGATCCTAAACACACATCTATTGTAAAACAAGATGAGGGATCTCAAGAGAGAATATGACCTTTATTAGATGTTATACATGATTCCGTCCCACAATCCCTATTATAGTTGTAGAAACTCTTTTTTTGGCACATTATCTTCTTTGATAATTGTGCTCTTCATTTTGTAATTGCTTTGCTTCTTTGGACAATGTTGAGCAGTGTGCTTAGCTTCTCCATAATATAAACACTAACCCTCTTGGGAGCGTCAAGTCTTTTCCTACTTCATGAGAGATTTAAAATGTATTATATCAATTTGTATTGGTTCAGACCTGAATGAATATATTTCAGAAAACTTAGGAGTTGCCACCATTACTTGACTTATTCCTCTCCAGCCAAGTCTTTGTTCTTGATATCTTTCAAATAATTGATTGTGGTATGCAATAACTTGAGTATTAAATTTATTCCAAAGATTCTGCTTTTGATATTATTAATAATAAATCTTTAATTCTATTCTTTAATCTATATCAAAATTGATTGATAAATGCTTTATCATTCCACTCCACATCACAAGCAAGGTTTTATAGTTTAGTAGCATATGCCATGGCTAATTGTGATCGTTGTTGTAAAGATAAAAATTTGGATTCTGCTACTCATTTTTTATCACTTTCTCTAAGTGAGGCCGTAAATACTTCTAAGAATGAATTTAAATTATAAAGAAGTCGTGAATCCTTTTCCATCAAAGGTGTAAACTAAGAAAGAACACTTCCAAATAGAAGTGCGCCTATGAAGCCAACTTGAGTAAATCCATCCGCATATTGGAAAGGATGTAATCTTAAGTAGAGCTTAACTTATTGTAAAAACCCTTGAAAGTTTGATCTTATTCCATCAAACTTTTGAAGCATATTAATTCTTGCCTCTCTTAAGCTTGTAGAAGCAAGATCCCTTGAATTTGGTTATGAGGTTGATCAACTTGTTTCCCTCAATTGCACAACTACTTGACATAGACTCTATACTTATTCCATAGGTATAGAAGTAGTGCTCCCATAGTTGATATTGGTAATGCGTGAAATTTTTGCCCTAAGAATGTTGACAAATTTATGACGATCTGTAATAATTACAAATCTATTCTCGCTTCTGCTAGGAGTAGCATCCATAATCTTTCTTTCTAAAGATAATTCAAATAAATCCAAAAATTTAAATTAGAGGAGGGTAATCTGCAACATCTAATAAAAATTTCTACAAAGAGGGATAATCCATTATCTTTAAAGAAAAGATCAATGTTAGAAAACAAGATTTTTTTGTTTAAAGGTGGATGGTCCGCAACTTTCAAAATACAACAATAGAAGTGGGGTAATCCACTTACTTCTAAAACAAGACAAAAATAATATGTTAGCATTCTTGTCAAATTGTCAAAGACATGAATCTTGAAGAAAGAAAATCCTCAATACACTCTTGTGTCACTAAAGAGAAGTAAAAAGTCACTCAAAAGGTGATGTAATATTAAACTAGAATAGCTATTGCCAAAAACAAGAAGACTAAAAAGTCTTGAAACAAGACTAAGAACTAAAAAGATATTAACAAGAGTGAAGAACGCTTCACTCTTGCATCCATATATACTCTCTAACTAAGAGCTATGTGGCAATATTCTATAGGACCTCTAACATGTGTTGACTTTGTTAGCCACATATCTTAAAAATGGATACTCTTTGTAGAATTTCTACTCTTTTTAAGGAAAAAATCAGTTTTAGAAAATAAGATTATTTGTTTAAAGGTGGGTAGTTTACAATCTTCAAAATACAACAATAGAAGTAAAGTAATCCACTCACTTCTTAAACAAGAAAAAAATAATAATTTAGCACTCTTATCAAACTAGCAAGAACATGAATCTCGAAGAAAGAAATCTTTAACACATTCTTCTGTCACTCAAAAGAAATTATTTCTGTATATTATATTTATTGTCTCTGTCTCAATCACCACCTTTTTTTTAACCAATAAAAGGAAAAAAAAAAACTCAAAAAAAAGAGATGCGTTATTAGTTAGTTGTCTACAAAGAAGTCATGTAGGATGTAACAATATCAATTAGAGATGCAATATTAATAATTTCTTTATATTATTATATTTATTTTATTTTATTTTAAAAAATAAAAATATAAAATTAAATATAATATTTTATAGTCAAAATTTAGTATGATATTACTTTGTAATTATTTAAAACTATAATTTGCATATATAATATATTATTGAAATAATATTTTTTTATGATTCAAAAGCTACATTTTCAAAAAATTTATAATCTCAAATTCAAAGTATAATTATTGTTGTAGTATTTATTTTCAAAAAATATGATTTTTTAAAATTAAAATTTAGATATGAATATAAATTGTTTGATTTATTTTAAAAAAAATAAGTATGGTAGTACATTCAAAAGAACTTTGACCTAAAAAAATTCTAGTTTTTATCTTACAACTCAATACATGGATGAAAAATACTAGGCTTAGTTGTGACTTGCTTCATCTTTGTCTTCTTTACATATGTAGCAAGCAAGGTAAAATTGATATAAAATAAATATATCAAGCATCTTTGTCTTCTTTACATATGTAGCAAGCAAGGTAAAATTGATATAATATAAATAATGTGAGATTGAGTGATAGTGGATTATGGAATTATTTCCCGCCAAGTATGTAGGAATCTATTTATGCTAATATAAAGTTTTTCTCTTCTCTATGTTGCTTAATTGCTTGTCCTCAATCCTTTGTCTTAGCCTTTCAAAGTTCTCTTGGCCTCTACTCTCCAAGCCTAAAATTCTGATTTCAGCAAGAGGGCGCATTTAAGGGTAGACACATAAAGCATTTGTCAAAATTGCCCAAAATCCATTTGTAGATGAAAGACTAGATCCACTGTACTCGGTTGCCTCTGTGACACATTCACCAAATGTTTTCATCCACTAATCAACAAATGTTTCCGTGAAAAATAAACTTCCGTCAATAGGAATCATCCTTGTGGGGAGTTTATTATAAAAAGAATGACCATTTGGTGCGTACCTGTTAACTATCAATCCACGTCCCCATGTGATTAACATATGCATTGTCGTCAACCTCCCCAACAATTTCTTCGCCCTGTAGGTGATCAATCTCACTCAACCTGAAGACTCAGTGATTTGTGGAAATTTCCTTTGATTGATACAGACACAACGCAGCCGAATTTACAACGTAATTAAAACTGGCAAGGAAGACTTAACTAATCACAACGACCTTTAACAATACAGCACACACACCATTAATTGTTCAGAAAGTCCGTCATTACAGATATTCACAATGAAATGGGAATTTGAATTAATATAATTGTTATCTCCATGTGTTTTCCTACACTAGCCTATGCCGTCTTACAAAAGTCTCATACTGTGGTCTCTCGGTAGGAAATATCAGGCAACCCTATATCCTTCACGATTTTCATGTCATCGCACACTAAAGTACAGCACTTTCTACTCAACGCCGTGGTGTCATTAGCAGATCGAACTTCTACATCTTCGTTTAACGAGAACACTGCTATTTGTAATGCACCACAGGTCTACCCACTCTGGAATCGAAATGATTGAACTTTGATCCACCTATTCTCCAAAGGTGAGATTCTCAAAGGCACATGCAGGCAGGTGTAGACATCAAGTCGGCAACTGGGGCCAAATATAAAGTAGTGGTTTTATGACAAATTGACGAGCTTCTCGCTTATTTCCCACAACTTCTTGGCTTTCTCCGCATCGCTAGCTTCCTGGGAGAGCTCATTCTCGAACGAATTCGACTGGTTGTTCCAGCTCCAGTATACACCAGACTTGTTCAGGGTGGGATCACTCACAACCTGGGTGAACAAAGTGTCAATATCGTGTGTAGTTGTCACAAAAACATTACGCTTCATGAAACATTACTTACTTCAGACGGAACCGTAGACCAAGTACTCATCATAAAACATATTAATGGAACAAATCAATCTCTAGTTTCAAATAAAATAAGCAGCAGTGATGGTCAGATGAGTACCTGAGCCAATCTCTTGCCAGCCTCTTCCTCTGAAACATAGCCCTTGGTAATATACTTCTGGAAAGGTGGAAACAAGGTTCGGAAGAGTTGATAATGCTCGCGGAAGAGTCCTGTTGTGGCGATGCACCCAGGATACAATGATGCGAAAGTGACACCCGTCTTCTCATGAAAGCGGCGGTGCATCTCCTGCATGGTCAGCATATTGCAGACCTTGCTGTCTTTGTATGCTTTGGCACCATCAAATTCACCTCCGTCAATCATAACAGAGGAGCGCACTCCATCGAGCCCACCCGCAAGCCCACGCAAGTCGCCAAGGTTAGCCTTCGGCGGCACGTTTCCTGCTATTGTGTTCGTGTTTCCTGAGACGTATCAGAAATACTTCATCAGTACTAGCCACGATCTGGTGTCATTCCTGTCATAGCTTACGGCATGAAAAACCCATAACCGCATGTCTCGATGCATACAGCGACCGGTTCAATATCCTTGAAGATACATCACGATTTTTTGCTCAATCGTCCACATCGAGGGTTGACATTGGTTAGGGATGGCAAAGTTGAAGTGATTCTATGATCTCCAGAAACATATGCAGCGAATTTACCTGTAATCGAACCCACAATGATGACCCTCCGATTGGTATCATTTTCTTTATGCTGAATATCTTCCATCAGCATATTAGCCAAGAGGAAGTGCCCCAAATGGTTTGTACCCACGCTCAGCTCGAAGCCATCCGCGGTGTACCTAGGTTCCTTCGCAGTAGGCAAATACACTGCGGCATTACACACAAGGACATCCAGGGGACGCCCGGATTGGCGAACATTGTCAACGAATTGCTTGACACTGTTGAGGGAGGACAAATCACAATGGATGACGGTGTAGCTATCCTTGGGCATGCCCACAGCTCTCGCAGCACGTTCGGCTTTGAGGAAGTCACGGCATGCCATTATAACGTGCCATTCGCCAGAATCGGCAAGAACCTTAGCGGTGGCAAGACCGAGACCTGACGAGGCTCCAGTGATGATAACAGTAGACTTGGTGTCAGTTTTTTTCGTTGTAGTAGGCGCCTTGGTGTCGGCAGGAGCCGCAACACCCTGAGCCCGAATGGGTGCAACTAGTGGCTGCCTAGAAATACTCTGCAAGTAAATTTATCGCAGGGTTAAAGAATGTTACAAACAGCGTTCATTCCCTCCTGCACAGAACTTAGTGAGTGACGATGAACCCTCGAAATAGACGTAGTAGATAGGATCACAATTTGAAGGAAAGTATCTATAATCAGATCAGGTAAAAATGATTGGAGCAAAGTATGGTTTACTTACCGCACTCACGGCTCTAGAAAGAACAGAGGCGCCCTTGCAGACCGAGATTTTCGTTCCCAGGAACGCCGATGGTTGCACACTTGCAGTGATCCCAGAAGTTACTCTCTGCACATAATCGGCTCTGGAAATGTTATAACGAATCGCATAAGAAACCCCAGCATTTTCCACAGGGAACAGCGCTGTAAATCCATGTTGCCCCATGACCCGAGAGCAGCCAACCTCAACTAAATCACGAGTGAAGGACAGTCACAACGACTACGTTCAACTATGGAGCAAAGTTCGACAAATATGTGCACGAAGACGCGTAGAAAGCACCCCGATTTACTGATCAGGCAAGAGATTTATAAAACTGCTAGAACAATAAAGAAAATAAGAGAAAAAGAAAAATAGAAATAGAAATAAAGATTGAAATTCATTCACGGCGATCCAAGTGAGATATTCTAGAAATAGTACTACCAACAAACCTCATAATTATTAGTATGTCATACTAGAAAGCCATCCAACAAATTAAGCGACCTACATTGTAGCACTCAGTCGACATAACCCAAATTCGATTTTTAGTTGTCGACAATGAAGTCCCCGAAGCCATTGGAACACACTTCAACAACTCTCTACCAAGATACACCTAAAAGATTCGGTTCCAAGACCGACTCTACCGATCAATCCAAAAACGAGGCGAAGAGTGCAAGAGCTATCTGAATTCAGCGTCCGATTACATTTAACAGAACGTAACACCAATGTCTTAGTGCACTCATTACTAAAATGCATGCAAAAAATCCCCACACGAAAAGCTGCAGCTGGGTACCGCTTCACAGAGAGCAGTAACAAAAATAAATAAAGGAAGAAAGAAATTAAATCCATGCATGAATTCTTTCGAAGGTATAACCAAAAACGAAGAACGAAAGAGCTGATTCTACTCAACCCAAATCATCTGCCTTCATCCGCAACTTCACACGGAGAGTAACCCAGAATCGGAAACAAACTTGACTGCTCAAATACCTCAGAGGTGAAGGAAGTAGGGGGAGAGGACAAAGCAGCCACAGCGCAGGTAGACATGGCGACGAGGCTCAGTGCAGCGTGGATCAGGCTTCGCAGTAAATTGGCTTCGAGCCAATTTTTGGCGATGTCTTATTTGTTGGGAACAGGTATGGGCTCCTTATCCCGCGGCTTTACAACTTCTTTCTACATCGAGAGCAGTCTCCTCATCCGTGGAAATAGGGGATGCGATCCCGGGTCCGGGATCCGAGTAGAGGGGTCCGCGATTGGCCGCCCCATCTCTTCAAGTCAAGTTTGGTGGATGCTCATTGGCTCCCCGAATCGCAGCTTTCTGCCATGGGTTCAATATTTTGAAGGTGAGCCATTGGTCAGTTTTTTTTTAAACTTTAATACACCTCAGTTTTGTAGTTTTATTATTTATTTTTTTCAAAAAGGAGAGACTTTCCATATAGGGTACTAAAATATTGCATTTGTTTTCACATCCCATGTAACAAGGTAAGGTTGGAATCAAACGGATCATTAGTAGTACCAGTTGAAGACTAAATGGTACACACATCATAAGCATATTCTTCTAATAATGAATGTTTCATAAATGAAATTCTTACAATGAACATCATTTCAATAACATGTATGACATAGAGAATCATTGTTTTTACATCGTTGAAGTAATTTGGGCGTTAAATGAATTCAAGAGCTATAAAAAAGAAAAATCATGTTAATATATTGTATAAGCAAAGATCTAAGAAAATATAACCATAGTTTTATTATGATTCGTTCCAAACTATATCCAACCACGGCAATCACACCATGGGACTTAAACCCGCACCAAGCACCGCGCGGCTTATCTAACTGCATCCCAAATCCATGACTTCGCCAATCACACCTCCCAGACATTCTGCCAGCTTGGCAGTAGTGTTCTTGAGGCGGATTGATAACCACAACTTTGGGAACAGACCCGAGAACCATCGGGAACTTTGGGGCTGAGCAGGACTGGATGTTGGGCGGAGATAACTGGATCAACTTAGACGAATGGATTTCAGTTACTTGATCCTAATTTGGGCAATAGCTGCGCTCTTTATTATTTCTCAAGTATGGAAGTTGTTTCCTCCTCTTCAAGGATTACAGTGGTATTTATCTAATGGACCAAATCAAAATTTAGAAAGCAGTCGGTGAAGTGAAGAATATTGAGTTGCATACAATGCAAATAATTTGGTTAGGCTTTATTTTCATGTCTATTACTATTCCATATATCAAAAATAAATAAATAAAATAATAAAAAATAATTTTTATTTTATTTTTTCCTTTCTTATGTTACATATAGAGATATTTTTGAATAAGATAAAATCTTAAGAATTATTTTTGAAGATTTTTGGTAATCTTTATGATTACTATTATTACTTAAGCTAATTCAAAATAATTTTATTATATATATTTATATATATACATACTACATACACTAAAATATTCATAATTAGTAAACTAAGTTATTTTAAATTGACATATATTTCAAACTAACTACAATATTTATTATAAATAAATTTTATTTATATAAATCTATTAAAATTGAAAAGAATTACCAAATTTTTATTCTAAATTTCATTTTTTTAATATTTCAAGATATAATCTTTGTGTAAAAATAAAATTAAGTTATGATATTTGTTGCCAAGAATTTTACTTATAAATATCTTTTCAACATTTCTCAACTTATTATTAAGGTCATGAATCTCAAAGAGAGAAAATTTCAATACATTCTTGTGTTACTATAAAAGATAAGAAAATTACTCAAAGATGGTAATATATTGAACTAGAATGGCTATTGCCAAAGACAAAAAGATTAGAAAGTCTTGAAATAAGATTAAGGACAAGAAAAGCATTAATAAGAGTGAAGAAGGCTTCACTCTTGCTTCCATATATACTATCTAACTAGGAGCTACATTGCAATGTTTTATAGGACCTCTAATATATGTTGACTTTGTAAGTCACATGTCTTAACTTGCAAGACAAGTGTGAGTCATTGAATTGACTCACTTGGATATTTAGCATGAAAAATGCACTTATTGTGCTTAAAATCATAAATTTGTGACTTAACTGTAGAATTTTTAGGAAAAATAGAAAATAGATTATTAATAGCAAATATAGAGTCTAAGATAGAATTTATTAAGATAAATTTCCATCTTGGAGACTTTTTTGTATATAACATTAGATGATGGCTAATGAAAGTATCTATTGTTATTAAAAGAAATTTAGATTGTATTAGATTTAAATTGAATGAATTATAGTTTGATTGGATGAAAAATTATTAATGGATGAAATTTCACTCATAAATGATAAATTATATTTAATTAAAATTTTATTGATAGATAAAAATTAGAATAATAATAATAATAATTTGTTAAGATAAAAATAAATAAATAATATAATATAATATAATAAATTGAATTAAAAATTAAAAGAAGAAATTTCTTAGACATGCATGTTATGAATAGAATGCTATTGTGAAGATGGATTAATTCTAGAGGTTTTGCTTAATATTTTGAGTATTTAAAGATGATTAAAGAATGAGTTGACTAGGATTTAATTAATAACCATAACTTCTAAAATTCTACATAATCAATTCACTTATGAGCTAGAATAAACTTCTAACTAATACATGTTATTTTTAGTTCATATTTTGGTGCATTTTTTAGAAGGAAGATCTTATAAGTTTTAGGATTTTTTATAAGGCTATTATTTAATTATTGTATATATTTAATTTTATTTTATCTTATACTAGTACAATCTTCAGGTATTATTGTAGATTATTATGATGTAGGAACTCAAATTGAATAAGAAGCTTGAAGAATTTTAGAGTAAATTAGAAAGAAGATTAATTTAATAATTTAGAATTATTTTAGAGATTAAAATTAAATTAGAACTAGATTAGGATTTTAATAAAAGATGGAGCTCTTTTTCAAAGTTGGTTATAACTTCTCTTCTTAGTCAATTCTTTATTGAAAGTCCATTTTTAGTAGTTGAAGGAATTTAATCACCCTCTCTATCCCTCATATTTGTTTTTCATTTAATTGTAAATTCCTTGTTCATAGTAATTTTCTAGTAATAGAAGGATTTAGTTACGTTTTCTACCTACTATACCTTTTTTATTCACAGATGTAGTATAGAAGGATTTCTTCATTAATATTTTAATAAAATATTTAGAAGAAAAAGGTATAATAAAGAAGAAATAGATGTGAAAGAAAAACAAAGAAGAAAGGAAAGAATTCAAATTTAAAGGCTATATTTCAAGATAAGTTCTTTTAGAACAATCAATTAAAATTTTAAATTCTTAATAAATTTAGCATAGCTTATAGATTGACAAGAAAGGAGCTAAAAAAAGAAACTTGGTATTGAAAAAAATAAAAATAAAAATTCAAGTAAATATTCTTAGTATTTATGAACTATTTCAATTATTTAAAATTTTAGCACATATGTATAGAGTTAGGAGCAATGAGTTGGAGAATAGAACCTAAAAAGAAGAAGCAGAAGAAGTACTCATCTATTCCCTTTTTAGGACTAGAAAATATTAGATTAGAATGAAACCTATACTTATGATTTTACCTTTTTAATCTAATCCATAATCGATTAGAAAGATTGTTTAGAATTTTTTGTTGTCAATTTATTGACAAGTGACAAGGTGGTTGATAATGCAATTAGATGACTTTTCTTTCAAGTTGGATTAATGCATACAAAGAATCCTTTTTATTCAGTATTTTTGTCGTTTATCAAATAATTGGTAATTTCCTAATTACATTGGAATAAAGGATTAAAAAAAAGAAGAGCTCAAGCTTCCTACTAGAAATAGAATGCCTTTGCATTGAATATTGTTTAGGATCATCTCTATACAAGGTCGTTTTGTATAATAATCTAAGAAAAAAAAAACCTTACTTAAGATAATACTGAAGTAAATATTCTTCTTTTAAGATATTTGTAATATGCTAGCCTTCCTAGTTAGAAAGAATATTTAAGTAGAATACAAGTTAATAAATATAAGATAATAAAAATTTAAATTCCACAAGTTATTTATCTAGTTTGTTTAATTTTTTTAATTTTTATTTTTTAGAGATGATATTGTGATTGTAGCAGTTTAATGCACTGCTCTACTAGGTCCCATAAATCCATATTAGTACAATCCTGGGAAAATCTAGAGTCCTTGAGAACTATCAAACATCTTTTTTCAAATATTAGAACTTCAACTCCTAGATCAATTTAAATATGCCTAGAAACATCTTTGAAGAATTTGAAAACCTTTCTTTAGAAGACCTTGAAGAAAATTTAGAAGACTTATTTTTAAATTACTTAGAAGATAATACAAATCTTTTGGATCAAGAGAGTATTCATTTGTTTCAACTATAAGAACCAATGGATTCTAATAGAGCAAAAAATGAAGAACCACCATCCATACCAATTAATTCCTTGGTTCAAACATACTTTGAAGTATTTTTTCATTCAAGGATTTGCTAAAAAAGAAACCAATAAAAAAATTCTTCATGCACGACCTAAGGACCTTATAGGGGCCAAACATTTAGCAAAATAAGTAGAACAAATAAACAAGGAGTATAAAAGGTTGTGGCATAAAGAAGGCCACAATATTCCTAGCTTCATACCTATATATGCTAGGATTCTTTATGCATAAATTTCTAAGATGCTTGAACAATTACCATTAATTCTTACAAACCTAAGAGCCTATTTAGTACTTTCAAATATTAAACCTCTACTTCTTTCATTAGATTTGATATATCTTATTGAAGATAATAAATGGAAGGAAGATTTATTAAAAAAAATGATGAAATCTCAAAAAAAATCTAAATCCAAATATTTCATCAAATGAAATTGTTAATCAAACTA